AAAATTTAGTATAAACTTTGACCTATCTTCATTTAATTTTTTTTTTAAGATTTTATTATGGTTTCTTTTGGTCATAGTGGAAGGGAAGGAGAAAGAGAGAAACATCAACCTGCTTCTTGCACACGCCCCCCACCCAGGCATATGCTCTGAACAAGAATCAAACCACCAATAACTCAGTTTACACTCTGAAAGTCAACCACTGCGCAACCAGCCTGGGCTCACCCCTTTACACATCCCGAGTGGCTACTTTCATCCAACATGGCCCAAACTGAATGATATACAGATGCTTCTTAACAAATTGTGGATGAGGGAAACTCTCTCAGGAGTTGAAAACCTGTATGTAATTTTGAGTCCCCCAAAATGTAATGGTTGACTGTTGATCAGAAATCTGATGGATACCATAATTGATTCCCATATATATTGTGTATATTATATATATCTTATACTACATTTCTCCAATAAAGCCAGAGAAATGATTATTGAGAAAATCATAATACAGTACTAATTTTTAAAAATCCATGTATAAGCAACCCCCTGCAGTTCAACCCCATGTTATTGAAGAGTCAACTGCATTTACTATCTGGCCTTGGACAGAAGATGTTTGCAACCCTTGCTCTATGTAATGTGTTCGATATATAACAGACCAATATGATCGGCAAACCATGAGAACCAAGATGAAACATGATGGCTCAAAAAGGCTAACTTGTCCTCTTTTCCCAAGACACTAAAACCCATGGTCACTCCTACTTTACTTCATCAAGAAGCCTAGGCCATGACAGGGGTTTAACAAGCAATTTTGAAAACAGGGAGATTGCTTTGCAAGGGAATAATGCTCAACACTGAGTGAGTAGAATGATGGCCCAGGAATCCCCCTCTTCTGCTCTGAAGGTGGTCGGGTGTTTGGTGGGCACTTACGATCTTTATCAAACTTGGGTAATGTTGCTCCAGTAGCAGCCAGTTCTGGATCAACGGTTTCCAGGAATATTGTCCAAGGGTTTTCATTATCACTGAGTTCAATCATCTAGTTCCAAAAGAGACGTCAATTTTAGAAAATTTGCATGGTGAACTAACGAGTAAAAATCTACACTCTTATACTGAAGAACACCTATCTAACTAAACAAAAAGGAACACGGGCTGCCATGTCAACAGCAGAGTACACTGCATGTACCGCTGTCAATAACACTTACCGTTTTATTGCCATCTGCCTCATTATCTAACATTGCTGGTCGTTTGGTTCCATTACTCCTGGCTTGCATTGGCCATAATCGAATCTGATCTTGTGGAAATCCCTGGAGGGGGGGTTTAAATTTAATTAAAACAAAACTATTTTTTAATCCTGTTTTGTAGTAGTCATCCTGTAATTACACAAAAAAAAATATTATTACACTTATGACTGCTGATTAGGCAACAGTGAACTGACTTCAGAATCTGAAGACTCAAGTGCCCGTTTTATTTTTAAAAAAGTGGAGGGGGGAGCAGTTACTAAAGAGAAGACTCACACTGAACTTCCTTCACTGCATATTCAGTTGAACGTTAGGGGACAGGGCAGACACAGGCACAACTGAGAAAGGAATGAGCTCCAAATGCTTACCTCACTTTCAGGCAGTGACTAAACACAACACCTACCCCAAAAGGTACCGTCTTGTCCAGTTATAAAGAACAAGGGAGGAAATTGGAAATCAAATGCAACCATCAGCAGAGACACTGGCACTCACCATGGTCTGGGAGAGGTTCTGGACAAATTCAGCAAGTGAAGAATTTTTCAATACTTTGAACACAGTATATTTCACTTTTTCTTCATCATACATATCATTGCCTTGGTGGCCACAAAACTGGTCCTCTGTGACTATCTGAAAACATGCACAAATACAGAACAATTGACATTCAAAATAAAAAATAACACAGCAATCATCAAGAGAAAGTTAAAATAGTAAAATGCTAGAAACAGCTAGTCTTGCTTCCAGGAACCTTCTTCATAAGACCCAAGGAGAAAAGTTTCAAAACAACTACCTAAATCAAGCTATATATTTAAAGAAGACAAAAACCTCCACATTCATGCAACCACTCTTAACCCATTTATAAGCATTAGCTAGAAATCCATCTGTGTGCTGATCACCAAATACTATAAAGATAGGATGCACGAGGTGCCTTTTCCCTGGTTCTAACTTGTTAAAACGATGCTTCTTTGTTTCCTAATATCTCAACAGAGTCATGAACCAAGACCATCCGGAAATTCACCACCCTGTTGGAGTTCTCCTGCCTTCTCCATCTGGATGTCAGGCTTTTCCACAGCCTGGTGTGCCACCTGCACACACCCCATTGGGACTGTGCTCCGCCTCTGCATGCTAACTCTTCCTTCTCATGCACCCTTTCATTGAGGCCTTCGCCCCTCTAAACCCCTCTGTACTTTTGGTAAATGCTCTCCTGTGGTGGCCTGAGTATTTCTCACATCTCAGTCCTTACCCTGAACTGAAGTGTATATTCCAAGTGGTCAGGAAACTGGCCTGTGCAGTCACTCAGTTAAAAATGCTCAAGGGGCTGCCCAGAGCAATCCCTGATCCCTCAGCAATAAGGCTATACTCGTGCTAGCACCCGAAGCAGTGTGGCTCACAGCGGGGCTCCCTGTAGCCTCAACCACCACAGGGTCGCAGGAGACTGAGGCTGACCTGCACTTGCATGTACAGATGGGCTTCCTGCCGCTCCTTTCGCTTCTGGGCCTCGATCCTTTTCTCTTCTTGTAATCGTTCCACCAGCTGCTGAGGAATATCATGGTCGGTGACAGCTTGTAACACCTCACCTGCAGGACAAATGCACCTTTGTTCACTTCTGGTAGGTTCTACTTTCCCCTTCTTAAAAGCCTCCAATTTTACATCCTCATTACTATAGCAATTTAGTAAAGTGAAATTACTTAGTGCCATGAGTCCACACCGCAGCCCACGAGCCCAACCCATCCTGCTTCTAGATGGTGTAACTAAGGCAATATAAGAAGAAAATGTGTTGCATAGGAGACACACCTTAGGTCCACTGTAATGTGGCCTAAAATGATACAACAGTGATTCATGGTACAACTACAGAGCTCACAACAGTGTGGAACACAACAGACACCCCTACTCACTCAGCTTGGATTCCCTGATATAAACCAACATGTACGCGTTGGTGCAGTGCCGCACAGAGAGGTCGTCATCATGGCCCCCGTAATTGTGCTCGATTGCTTCTTCTTTCGTACACCTGGACACCACATCGTCGTCAAATTTACACCACTGGACAGGGGACAACGAGACATCATTGAGAGAAAGGGCTTGGAAAAGCACACAAACTCTCAGGCAGAGTTTTCCTGGAACAGATTGTCTAGTGCGGTCATGCACCAGACTCTGTTTCAGGCATCCCTCTGAGAAAACTCAATAGTCCCTCTGCCATCCTCCGTCCCTGTTCTGGGGAACTGCTCATATTCAACCACTGGCCATTTCTACAGTCTACTCAGCCTGTTTGATACTTAAGATTCAATCTACGGATACTACAACCTTTTACCAAATCAAAAAAGCAATACGGAAGGCACATAACTCAGCTAGAAAAGTTCAAATGTTTCTGGTGTGATTAATACAATTAAATGGGACAGTTTATTCCATCTTATGACATATTATCACAGCAAGTAAGGGCCTGACTTTAAAAAGGAGTCAGAACTCATATGTAGTTATTCTTTAATCTCTTCCCTATGGATTGAGACATTTTGGAACTCAACCTCACAGTAAAAGTTTCATGCAAGTCTGCTGCTGCAGGGGTTCTCTTAGCAAGAGCTAGGCAGGCTCCATCTTTGCTGTGCTCCTCAATGGCCCTATGCTCCCGGACACAGGCCCAGAGAACCTCATCTGCCCCCTTGGTGAATACTGTGGTGAGACCCACATAAAACAGGAAGAGATGGAGCATTACCATGTGGACAAGGGCCCATGTAGACTATCACTCAACTGATGCTGCCTACCCTGACCCAGCCACAGATTATTACTCTGCTATTTCTAAGTGGAAAATAAGTGCCTCATATTAGATGTGAAGGGATTCTGTGGGGCCCAACATTCCATACCAACAGAGAGATACAGAAAGTATAATCACTAAATTATCGTTCACCTTTAAAGTCTTAGCAATTAATGCATACAGGAACATACAGGCAAATCAGAGGCTAGCAAGTAATCCTGTGCTAACTAGGCCTTTACCCAGATACAGGAAAATGCTGAGGCTGAGCATCTCTGTAAATCCCCTAGTTGGGAGCATCACATCCTAGTCCACCCCCTGCCCAGCACTTACTTTGCCATCCCCTTTGGGGTTTAGATAAACCACATAATGTCCACCATGATTATCTCCACTGTGAACAAGGACGGCATGAAGAATATAATTTGCAGGGTCCTTCGGATCTGTTTTTTGCAAAAATTCATCAAGCGGTAACTGTTCGGGAAACTCAAACCTATTTTAAAAAAAAAACATGTTAAAAAAAATCCAGGTTCCACTTACACATGAAATATTTCATCTTTAGGCTTTCTTTGTTCCTAGACTTTCTAATTTACTGGTTCACCACTACCTGGAAAGGGAAGAATGCATCTGACTTGGGAGGCCAGATGAACTATGTCTGAGGCAGCTCCTATTGGTTACCATAAATTATGTTTTTATGCCAATACAAAATTTGAAGCTAGATAGCAGAATAATGCTTATAAAGCACTGAGATACTGAATAGAATTTTAAATTCAAGGCTACAACACAACAATCTGGAGAGAAATGTACACTGTGACTTTTCTGGGATGTAAATAATTCCAAGTGTGTGTTAATGGATGATTCTGATAGTGCACAACTGAGACCACTAAGGATGTTCTGCATGTTTAAGAAATGTGGAAAAATCAAATAGGAGAAGGAACACATGTAAAAAAGAACTCCTACCCTGTGATTTCTACAGATTTCCTGGGCTACATTATTTTTAAATGACTGGCTCCACACACATTTTAATGACATGGTAATGTGTGTGTATGTGTGTGTGTGTGTGTATTTATAAAAACTAAACAAAGCACTAAGATTAACCCACTAAAAATTCACGTGATGACTAAATCTCAACTTCCACACCCCACTCTAGATTACCTATCATTGATCTTGATATTTTGGTCCGTTTGAGGGTCATACATAAATCTCATCAGCTGTAGATGTAACACTGGTGGCAATGTTAGGAATTTCACACCTTTCTCTGCTTCCTGCATATTGAAAAAGAAATGCAAATTTAGTTCACCACCACTTCTTTCTTGAAGCAATGAAAGCAAC